AGCATTACTAAAATACTGACTTTTATTACGATTTAAACGTGATTTTGAATAGTACTGTCTAAATCGCTCAGATAAATCAGCTGCTGAACTGATATATGTTTTACCTGATTTATTATGAATTCACTTATAAACACCAGCTTTACTTTTATTATCCGACAGGATCTGTGATCTATCCGTTTCCATATTAGAATAAAAAATAACAGGTAAAATTGACAAAGATAAACAAAAAAGATGCTCATTATAATTAAAATATATTAATTGTGAGCTTAGTTTCTTATCTTCCTTCCTCCCCCTTTCACGTAGGGGGTGTTTATAAACAGTAAATTTATAAACAAAATTAATATAATAGTATATAAACCCTACTATTATTGATTTTTGTTTTCAGACGTTGAAGATAAAATCCATTGTTTTTTATATAATTTATTTTTATCTAAATATCTAAATAAAGTACGTGTGGAACAATCAAAGAATTTAGCAGCTTCAGAACAAGTATCAAAAGATTTATGCAGAATAAGACCCTTCGAGTCAGATCTAAAGTATAAATAAATATTTTTTTTACACTTTGCTAAAGACATTAAAGCTTTAGATTCAGCAGTATGGAATTTACCATACATTGGATAATTTTCACCAGTTTTACCAAACATTGGATTCTTATTACCTTTTTAGCTTTACTAATTTTTTATTTAGTTTCTGCAAAAAGAATTTTACTTGATATTTTTACTATAGCTTCTTCAGTATGTTTGTAACCTAACAAAGAACCTGCAATTTTAAGAATGTTGAATTCAGGTTTTAGCGCATCGAAATAAAATTGCTCTTTAGACAACAGTTTCTCTGGCTCACAATATTAAAAACTACAAATATAAAGTCTTGTAATTTATATTTATTGCATTTTGAAGTAAAATATTAGATCTAAAGCCATTAATATGTTCATAGAAACGAGAAAATAGGTCTATGGAAGAACCAATATATAATTTATTATTAGTTTTACAAATAAATCCATAAATACCGGATTTATCTTTTAATTCTTTTTTAGTTATATTTTGTATTTCCGCTAAATGTAAGGAATCTATAAAAATCTCAATGGTATTAAAATATGGTTGTAAATGTGTCATTGTTTTTATTAATAAATGTTTCCTCTACTCACCTGAGAGGAAAAGATGAATAGATAAATAAATCTATTTTCAAAAAGGTATAAATCCTACCCGCGCTAGCGGGTTAATCCCCTCCGGGGGGGGGTAGCCTTAAATAATTCTTTTTTGCTTTAGTTTTTATTTGCTCCTAATATATCGACTTCGCATCAAAAAAACTTTCTTTTTCACATTTTTAGAATTATATTTCGGGAATCGGCCATTCCAATAGAAATTAAAAATATGATGTAGAAAATAATTTAATAAGGTCTTATAGATTTTAATCTATCGGTATGATCACTTTTAAAAAAGGTAATCAATATTAATTTAGATCTTTAGTAGATTGTAAATTAATATCCGAGATTAATCCTTATTATAATAAGATTTATAAAATAAATATAGATTTTCTGGAAAAAATACATTAGTAGTATTTTTCCATAACCGAAAAGGGGAGATTCAAACTCCCATAAAATAAAGCATATTTACTTTACCTACTTTACCTACTTAAGTTACATCCCGTTAGGATAATAAATAATGATTGACCTCATCCAAATTAATTAACATAAATAACTACAATATTTTCTACAAATAACAAAACACTAGATAAAAATTTGCTTTACTTAATTTAAGTGAATATATTTTCTATGGGTCAACAAAAAATCTAAGAAAGACTCGAAATCGAATAAGATTAGTTTAAAGTTATAAATGAATCTATATAAAAAAAAAATAAAATAATTAATAATATATATTATTTTCCTGAAATTTTCAGAACCCGCTATCTTAATTTCTGAAACATCAGAGACAAAATTTATTATTAAAAAAAAATAACCACGCAAAAAAAATATATGTTGCAATAACCATATAATATAATTATTATTTCATGTCAATGAAGACATGGCTTATATTAAACTATCTTTTAATCAATTCTTGTTATTATATTTTTCTGGCCACATTTGTTAGTTTGAGTGTGGCCACATTTGTTAGTTCGAGTCTGACCAACTCCGAAAATAAATTTTAACAGAAAAAAGTCCGGGGCCCGCGCAAGTTATTGCAGCCCTGGCTCCGAATTTAACAAAATAAAAAGAAGGGGGGGGTGTACAATCAAAGCTTTGATTATACACCTAATTATTATTAATAGGCATTTTTAAATAAAACCTCCTCTAAGGAGAGGGTGATGAAGAACTATTCTCTGAACATAGGCCATAAAAACAAGCCTATGTTAAGTTTTTAACTTAAAAGGTAGTACCATCCCCCGGGCCAAACATTTTAGATTTAAAAAGTCTAATCATCCATTTCACCCCTTCGAAACGAAGGGGAAACTTTACACCGCAAAAATGCGGGGCCAGTTGTAGGAGGTCATTACCGGTCCGGGCAAATTAAAACCAACCCCCCCTCCTCTGTGAGATAAGTTTTTAAAAGAAGGCAGACTTTTTATATAAGGCTATTATTTGATTGTTAAAAATAATTAAACATTTCCTTTTTTTTTAAGTCTTTCCTAAAAAAATAAACAAATAAACCACTCAAGAATTAGGTGTCCTTTATCGGAAATAAATATATAAATATAAATATATTTTAACCTGTTTGTCGAAATTGGTATACGATGTTGAATTAAAATCAATTGCTTTTAGCGTGTGAGTTCGAGTCTCACAACAGGTATATTTAAATTATTACTCTTTTAACTAATAATTCCCTATTAGAGAGAGGGAAGGATCTTCAGGAAGGGTAAGCACCAAATTTTTATATACTGGTAGTTGGGTGTTAAAGTACGACATTAGTTGTACTGAATAGTTCCCGTCTATTCCTCATTATCTGAGTTAACTTTATTTGAAATTAAGGTTAAAGACAATTTCCATTGTTCTTTAAATATCTCGCCATTTCTTACATATCTCATAATTGCTTGATGATTAGTACTAAAGAATTCAGCAGCTTTTCTGGCCGAAGAAAAACTATTTATAAGTGAACCTTGAAGATCATAAACATAAATAATTCCTCCTCCTTTAACTATACTCATTTTAGCTATTGTTTCAGAACAATGTTGTTTACCGTACATTGGGTTATTTCCGCCAGTTCTGTCCACCTTCTTCTGAGCTTCACTCATATTATTAATAATATCATCAGAAAGGGATATCCCAAATCTAGGGTGATCCTTACCAGTTATCCCAAACATTGGGTGATTTTCTCCTTTATTGGCATTACTTAGGAAAGTTATAGTTTCTGCAGTATGTTTATAACCTAAAAAAGAACCTGCTACTGTTAATATATTATATTCAGGCATAAGAGTATCTAAATAATATTGTTCTTTTTCAAGAATTAATTTACGAGTTTGTTCAAGAGATAAATTTGAAATATCGATATATTCAAGGATAGATAGAGAAAATGCTCCATATCCATGATGAAGTAGTGCATTGTTGATATACATAGATTTATTTCGGTTTAAAGAAGTTACAGAAAAATATAATTTTAAACGATTTGATAAGTCAACTGATGAACCTATGTATCTTTTACCCGATAATATATGAGTCCACATATATATAGCTGTTTTGCCTTTATTATCTGACAAAATTTGTGATTTATTTGTTTCGATATTATAATAAATTATAATTGGCAGAAAATTTCCATTGTTGTTTGTATTAGTCATATTTTTTTATACAAATTATTTTGTTCCCAGAATGATATTTTTATCATCTATTAATTATTATACATCAGAGTTCAGCTGATTTTAATAGTATACTTACTTGTTTGACACACTTTATAGAAATAATGATTAGAAGACTTGAACAATTATAACTCTGAATAGCTAGAATTGGTACTTTACTACTTCCAATTCATTATTAATTATTTAACAAATGTTTGTCGAAATGGTATACGATGTTGAATTAAAATCAATTGCTTTAGAGCGTGTGAGTTCAAGTCTCACAACAGGTATTTATTTTTAAAAATATAAATTTATAAATTGTTGGATGTTAAAATACGACATTCGTCGTACCGAATAGATCCCATCTATTCCTTAGGGATATCTCTAAGTTAACTTTTTTTATGTTCGAATAAATTAAGGACGTAGATAAGAACCATTGTTCTTAAAATATTTTTCCATCTCTTACATATCTCATAATTAATGATTAGTATAAAAAAATGCAGCCGCTTTTCTAGCTGAACAAAAAGTATTAATGACGTGAGCCTTGAGTATCATAAATAGTACCTTTAGCTACACTCATTTTAGCTAAAGTGTCAGATGAATACGACCTAACATTTGTCGTGGATTTTTTTTTTTCACCTGTTCTGTCTATTCTTCTCTGAACTTCACTCATTTTAGCTATAATATTCTCATAAATAGATATATCAAATCTAGGATGATCCTTGTATCCTAAACATTGGGTGATTTTTACCTGTTAAAGCTTAACTTATTTTGGCTTTAGTCTCCTCTGAATGAATAAAAAATAATTCCATTATTTGCTAATGTAGAATAATCTTTAAATACTAATTGTCGGAATTGAGCGACGTCACAATGAACAGTAGGGAAAAAGTTGAAAAAGTTAAATAACATTAAAAAAAAAAAAAATAAGAGTCTTGTACAAAAAACAAATTTTTGAATCGTTATATTACAACATGGCCACTAATTAGGTTCAATTATTTATTTACATTTTAAACTTTTTGATTATATCTAATAAATAAGATCTGCCCTTTAGGCTGATCAGCCCTTCAGGGAGATCTAGTGGAAAATAGTGATATGTGAATTTAAAGTGACGGAAGAAGAGGGATTCGAACCCACAAAGAGGAATCTCTAAGGATTTAGCAAATACTTTGTCTTGCCCATGACGACTCTTCCTATATTTATAAAATTTTCTGGGTTCGGTAGATTCGAGTACGATAAACTTGGGTACGGTAGATTCGAACTACCAATCTCTTAAATCAAAATTAAGCGTCCTGCCAGATTAGACCAGTGCCCACGTTATTTATTATTAATATATAATTATATTAATTTTGACCATCAATATATTTTATTTTTCTCGACGATTTTAATTATTTTAAAGTGTCAGGACATATTAGATTTAAGATTAGGTCTTATAGTCAAAGAATAAAAGATAAAATCTTTTTAAACAGTTCAAGTCTTTTATTATCATAAAGTGTGTCAAACAAATAAGTATACTATTAAAATAATATAAATTTATATTATTAAAGTCAATAATAGGTGATTAACATCATTCTGGGAACAAAAACTATGTACAAATAACTATGAAAAATTCAATAATTTTATTTAATGGAAATTTATCAAATCAACTACCAATTATATATGATAATGCTGAAATAGACAGATCGCGGATTCTATCAGACAATAAAGGTTTGGCTGGAATCTATATGTGGAAACATGAAGAATCAGAAAAAAGATATATTGGATCAGCAATGGATCTCTCAAAACGGTTATCTCAATATTTTAACACTTTAGAATTAAAACGTGCAGATAATTATATCTCTAGAGCTCTTCTTAACCATACTCATTCAGCATTTAGTTTATCAATACTTGAATATATTAATATATCAGCTTTATCTAAAGAAGAGGCACGTAAATTAATACTATCACGTGAACAGTATTTTCTAGATTTAATTTTTTTGTTTAATGAATCTTTAAGATATAACGTACTTAAGATAGCTGGTTCTTCATTAGGTTTTATTCATTCAAAAAATTCTAAAGTTAAAATGAGTGAAGCCAAAAAAGGAGAAAAAAGTTTAATGTTTGGTCAAACTGGTAAAGATCATCCTTTCTTTGGTAAAACTCATACTGTTGAATCAATAAAAAAAATTAGTATAGCTAAAAAAGGTGAAAATCATCCTATGTTTGGGAAATCACATTCTCCTGACGCAATAGCTAAGATTAGTCAAGCTTTAGTTGGTGAAAATAACTCAATGAGTAAAAAAGTATTTGTTTATTCATTTGATTCAGAGACGAAAGAGAATATACTATATAAATCTTTTAACACTTGTATAGAAGCTGCTAAATATTTTGATTGTAGTACACGAAATATATCTAGATATTTAGATAAGAATAAAATATATAAAAAACAATGGATGTTATTTTCATCTAAATTATAAATGTATTAAAATAGTAGGGTCTAATATACTATTTATATAAAATTTTTGTTTAGGAAAAAGCATATTTCTAAACACCCCCCTCATCCTTTGCCCCCCCCTCCTCTGCCAGATTAGACCAGAACCCATAGATATATATAATGTATTTGATAAGACCTTATACCTCAATATAATTTATTTTACAGGGTCCTCGGTAAATTGCTATGTCCGGACATAAATATATTATGACAATATAAGAATTTATTTTAGTATTCTCAATACCACTAGCTTTTCTTTATTTATCAACAATCTTAACCTCAGATTTACTTTTTTTATATAACTATGTAGTACTTTGTCATAATTCAATAGATGGTACGATTCTATCTTATGTTATGTTATGTTATGTTATGTCTGCTGATTTAGATATATTAGGAAAGTTATTTCAATCAACTTTATTTTCGCAAAACCCATTAAATTTAATCGGTAGTTTACTTTTTATAGATGAATTTAATATTTTATATTCGTTTATTCCTTCTTTTCAAGATCATCTTTTAGCTACAACAATAATCCTTTATAATAACGCGGAAACCGAGAGATTACAGATTTTATCGGATAACAAAGGGAAGACCGGGATCTATATGTGGATTCACAAAGAATCAGGAAAAATATATATCGGTTCAGCCCTTGAATTATCTAAACGATTAAGAAGTTATTATTCTATTACAGAATTAAAACGTGCAAATAATTATATATCTAGAGCTCTTCTTCATCATATTTATTCAGCGTTTTCTTTAAATATTCTTGAGATAATTGATATATCTTCAAAATCTGTAGAAAAAACACGTAAATTAATTCTTTCACGTGAACAATACTATATTGATACTTTTATGCCTGAGTACAATATACTTAAGATAGCTGGTTCCTTGCTAGGTTTTATTCATACAAAAGAATCTAAAGTTAAAATGAGTGAAGACAAAAAAGGGGATAAAAGCCTAATGTTTGATAAAACTGAAAAGATCATCCTTTCTTTGGTAAAACTCATACTATTGAATCAATAGCAAAAATAAGTCTTGCCCGTAAAGGGATAACTCATATTGATGCTACTAAAGAAAAATGAGTGCTGCTTTAAGAGGAGAAAAGAATCCAATGAGTAAGAATGTATTTGTTTATTCATTTGATTCAGATACAAAAGAAACTATTCTGTATTAATCTTTTCTCTCTTGTTCAGAAGTTGCTTTATATTTTAATTGTAGTACACGAAATATCTCTAATTATTTAAATAAGAATAAATTATATAAAAAACAATGGATATTAACCTCGTCAGAGAAATCGACTTAAAAATAAGGGATTTTCGGCCCCATTTATTTATTAGTGCTATAAAACCATTATATTAATAAAAATATAATGATCCTTTAATGAGCGGAAATATTGTTAAATAATGATGATGATTTAAGAAACAACGGAGAAGAGAGAATTATTAAATTCTTTTAAAGCCCAGCACTAAAAATATAATTAAAATTATAATAAACTAACACCCCCTCCGGGGGATGCCTCAAACAATATTTTATAATTTTGCTACTAAAGATTATAGAAATTCTTCCTTTTAGCATAAAATAATAACAAATAGTTATTATAGTTTAACGGATAAAACGAGTAATTCATGCTTACTAGATAGAAGTTCAATTCTTCTTAATGACTTAAAAAATTAGACTAAAGGGAAAAGCTTCTTTTTTTTAGGGTAAAATTATCTAAGAAAATTAAATACTGTCGAAAATAATAAAGTGATTTTAGATATAAAAAAAGAATATGATATTCCACAACCACCTATTAGTGAAAATCTTCATTTAAATAGAATGATAGATATAGCAATATATCTAATTCATTAATAATTAAAAAAATTTTTTCCCCTTTACAACATTAATTTGATGTGAAGGGTTTTTTTTACATTTTACTAATATGTAGAGCAAGGAGCTATAAATAATGATATTTCAAAATGCCTTTGAACATAAAAATACTTAGAAAGGAAAAATTTGATCTTTAATCATTTTTTTATTATCTTCTAATTATTATTGAAGTGTCGACGGGCCCCTTCATAACAATATCCTTTCTTGGTGGGTGTGTGCCTCCCTCCCTCCCCCCCCCCCAGACCCTCAGAATATAGCCCAAGGCTCATCCCAAAAGGAAGAGATTAATTTCTCTGATCAAAAACCAGATTTTCGGGAATGGACCTATATTTGCAATTGATAATCGTGATTTCTTAGCTTCCCTTTCTGGGATGCAAAGTTTTTAAAAAATTTGCTGATAGAAGAAACGAAACCAGGGTGTTTAAAATTTCGTCGTTTGAAAGATGATGAAAGCTATGACTTAATTTTATAGCAGAAACATCAACAAAAGGCAACCATCACAACCTGTTAGTTCTAAATTTGGATTGCCTTGGTCATCAAAATATGAATTTTGTCATATTATTATTAATAAAATAAATATTTACAAAAATATTAGGATCCGATAAGGGGTTTTTAGGAGAAAATAGTTTAATGATAAAGCATACAATTGTCACTTGTAGAGATTTGGGTTTGATTCCCAATTACCCCGTAAAATTCTATTAATTTGAAAGATATTACATTTTTTCGAGATGCTCTGTATCCTATAAATTATTCTAAAGTGTAAAATTACTCTGGTTTATAACAAAATATTTTCTTGGCTTCTAATGTGAATGTGGAAATATTATTTTGTTTATAAATAATAATTCCATAAATGGAATTTAATTAGAGGATTTCTTTAAATTTTTAAAAATGATTCTAAATAAAAATTATTTAACTTTTTTTCTTACGTATTTGATACATCTAATACTTTTATTAAAGTAATTTCTGCTCTTCGGCACACTCCTCTTCCAGGAGCTGCTTTTTTTATTAATAAACGATTATATTATTCAGGGCCTTCGGGTGAAACTATTAATAATAATGATAATAATCAATCTAATGATATTAACCCACGAATAACAGAAATAATAGAAAGTATTAGTAATACATAAACTTTTAATACTGCTTTAACTCATAAATCCTCCCTTAAATCTTATTCTACTATTAAATCTTATGAAACTCTTGAATTTTTAGGTGATAGTATCTTACAATTTTATATTCCAGGGGTCCGGTCCTGCAAGGCAGGCCCCTGGATTTTTCTTTTTAAATATTTCCCACATTACTCAGAAGGTAGATTAGCTGAAGAAAGAATTATGTTAATACAAAATAAATACCTTGCAAAATTTACCTTAAAAAATAGGTCCCGCCAGCGGGCCGTCCCAGAGGGAAGATTTATATAAATATTTATATCATGATAAAAAAATTAGTTTTACAGATGTTGTAATTACTAAAGTAGATTATAAAATATTAGCTGATATATATGAATCGTTTATAGCAGCCCTGTTTATTGAAAAGGGTAATAAATTATTATGTGAATTCTTAGCTTTAATTGTTCTAGATAAACCAGAATATGTTGATAAACTATTTAAATTTGATAATGAATTACCTTCCCTTCGGCACGGTCCCCTTTCGGGACCTGAAATATATAGTTTTTATATATTATAGATGAATATAAAATTATATTAAATATTTTTCTAACAAATTAAATCTAAGGGGGGAGGTGGGGGGTGTTAGATTAAAAGTCTAACGTAATAAGAAAGATTTAAAATTAATTGTATATTATAACCCTACTATTATCCCTCGGTTACCGAGGATGTTGATAATTTCCATTGTTCTTGAAATGTTTTTTTATTAATAACATATTTCATTATAGTTTGATGATGACAATTAAAAAAATCAGCCGCATTTCTTGCTGAACTAAAAGTATAAACAAGTGAACCGTCGGTATCATAAACAAAAATAGT